AATATCAATAGCCTATATTATTATTAATTATAGCCAACAATAATTTGTCATGTGAATTGCGCCCAAGTTACACCATAAATGTAGTATAAACATACCGGTAGTAAAAGTAACATAGAGTATATCTTTAGACTTTAGAGAAGAACTATCAATTTAAAGCAGTAAACGTTGCTAGGATTTCTTGCATGTTTGAACTTCTAAGTACAGCTACAATAGCAACAAATATAAATGTTTCAGATGTATAATAAAGCTGTACGAAAACTAAACCCCCAAAAAACCCCACCCTGCCCTAGGCTTTCTCAGTTGCCTAGACCCTGCCCCATCCCTTGACACTGGATATAAGCCAGTGGAGCTGTGGCTAATCGTCCGTATAATTATTTTTCTAAGTCAGCAACGTTCCGTTCCCCTCAACGCCGTCGTCCTTGTCCGGCTATGCAGCCGAGCAGTCCCCGTTGACCTAGGCTGAGTCGAGAAGGGCTGTTCCGTTGTCTTTCCTCCCCCCGGTGGGAAATCAGAAATCAATCTCCCAATTATTCTGTCTGATACTATTACCAGATAAGTGAACTTGATAAAAGTGAATAAAAATGTTAAACTTACCTAACAGGTGTCTCAATTGTTCATTTGTAAGCAGCTTTGACTCGTCACAAGGCGTTAGAGCTGACGTGCATCGGTTCGGTTCGCTCGAGCCGGGAACGAAAGCCTCTTCGGCCATTGATAAACGTTGTTCGTATTGCGGAATCTAGGTAGGTCGCTTCTCGTCCTTCTTGCTTCGTTAAGAAAAGGTGCTCGTTGATGACAATTAGCTAATTAAAAGCACAATTTCACGAGCTTTCTGCATATCTAAATTTGACTGACCATTTCCACATCCATCACTCGATTTTTCAGAATATTATCTCCCGAACACACAGAATTCTACAGGTATAGAAGCGGAACTCCCTATTCGCGATCGCTGATTCGCTGTGAGGAATTGATACTAAAACATGGCGGCCAATTGAGGACACCTTTGGCTGCGCCACACAGCGAGGCTTCGCGTTGCTATGCACGCTACTGATGCTACTATTGCTAGTGGTAGGGCTTGGAAGACACCTTACATCAGTATTTTAACACTTTCTTCGAAGAGGAAATAGTGAAATAGTCTAGTACATTTGTATTGCCAACAATATGTCATAATTCGCAATGTTGCAATGTTTTTGTGTTGTTGGTTTGCGGGATTTTTTAATGATGGGATGGGATCTAGATTCAAGACTTTCTAAATCTAGAATCTAGATCTACTAAAGATCTTCACACTCACAATACACTTGCTAGTAACACTAATTATGAACATTTATTCTGTTGGCAAAATATCTAGATATAGACTTGATTAGTACTACGATAAAGGGGACGCTGACAGTAACATGCTCACTACAATTACATTGTCATTAAACTTAAGGCCATCCACAGCAAGCAAAAATGAACAATACAACTTATAAGCCTTTTCTCCAATTTACTAAATAAAAAAAGATCAATAAATTGAGCTTATATTGAGGAAATGTATTATTTCTCACTTTAAGAATTCATCTCTGTGTTTGCATCCGTGAAATATATATGTGTTCAGCATGCTTTGTTTAAAGCACGTGCGAGTCTAACAAAGACGAGTGATTGGAGAATGTGTCGGTTGCACATAAAATACTTAGGCTGCCAAAAACACAAAAATGCAGAAAAAGCTTCAAAATCAAATATTGTTTTACACATACTAGCCAATATTGCAAAACAAAGTCAACAAGAATGGAACTGGCATGTTTCCTGAATATAATGTTCAAAGTCATTTTTTGTGAGTTGAGAGTGTGGTTTCTAATGCATGAATGATAGGCTCATTCAGATGTGATAATGAAGAAACTTGGATCTACAGTTACAACAGAAAGAGTTCCATGGCGAGTGATCACTGGTCAAGGATTTCAGACTTGTGTGCATTTTGAGAAAAATGTATCCCCATACCCTGGATCACATGTCGAGGGGATGGGCTTGTCCCCCTGTAATCCCCGCACACAGTAAACAAACACACATTTTTTAACACAAATAAGAAAAAATAAGTGGTCTCTTGTTACGGATCAAATCGAAGTCCTGTTACAATTCGATTAATTGATAAAAGGGCGTATCGCAATGCATTGGCCAACCCTGCCCTATAGGCATTTGCTATTTAATAAATACATTCGTCAGATCTGGAATCTTTAATGCCCGCACACAGTAAACAAACACACATTTTTGAACACGTATAAGAAAAATAAAGTGGTCTCTTGTTACGGATCAAATCGAAGTCCTGTTACAATTCAAGTAATTGTTAAAAGCGCGTATCGCAAGGCATCGGCTAACCCAGCATTATTACGCTATTTTATAAATACATTCGTCAGATCTAGAATCTTTCATCTTTGATTTTTAATCCCCACACACAGTAAACAAACACACATTCATTAACACGTATAAGAAAAAATAAGTGGTCTCTTGTTACGGATCAAATTGAAGTCCTGTTACAATCCAATATTTGATAATAGCGCGCATTGCAATGCTTTGGCTAACCCAGCATTGTACGCTATTTAATAAACACATTCGTCAGATCTGGAATCTTAAATTGTAGTCATAATTATATGTGCCTGCGTGTGGGAAGTGAAAGTGAAAGGAATTGAAAACGTTTTCAAAAACAATTACACAATGACTTAGATCTATATCAATTCGTCTTAACAGGTGTGTATTTTTTCAAACATTTGTACACATAGGTTCTATATTATTCTAGAAATTGTCTTTTTTTTCTAATTCTGCTGGCGACATAAAGCTAATTATTGAACGCATGTTTTGAGAACATTAATTAGATCTAGATCTAGTGAAAAAATATGTTCAGTGTAAAACAAATTTCTTGTAACAAGTTTTGCTACTAAAAAATGACGTAGGCCATAATATTTTGCGTATGCAAAATGTGTGTGGGAAGCTAGAAGTGCTGTGAACAATCCCATCCGTATTACGAAATTTTTCACAGTTCTACAGATCTTATATAAACTCTCTATGTCTGCTTTTTCAGCTGTTGCACCCAAAAACACAACAATTTAAACCTTAATTCCAATCTTCAGGTTGCACAGTAAATTCTGAAACTCAAAATTACAAACTGGACAGTAAATGTTCCACTTTTCACTCGTTTGTAAAAGCCGATCTTGCTTTAAAAGCTATAGGGTTACTTCCGAAAACGATACATCTTGCCCTCAAGACGCCATTGTTTTCTGTCTTCAATTCCTCACAGGTCACGTGGTACAGTGCCCGTTCTATAAGTGTAGAATTCTGTGCCCGAACATCACAAATCCAGTGTTTATGACGCCACTTTTCAAAGGCACACTGGGATAGCTGGTATTTTTAGAAAGAGGAATTCTTCCCCTTTCTAATGATGTCATTTTTATTTTTGTACGACCTTTCACAGCGAAACAATCGGACCAAACATGAGACGGGTCGAAGGCCCGAGAACAGCGATCGCGCCCGAGGCGCGCGAGCACGAACGGAAAAGTTGCCTTTCGTCACTACAAATAATCCGATCAACAAAAGACTAAATGTTTACATAGACAAACAAAACAGACACAGACATAGAGATAAAACATTGATGCTTTTAGAGCCGTTTCAATCATCTCAATAGGACTTCTATGAGCTTTGCTTTCACCCGACCGGTTTTCTATCGGTCAGAGGCGGGGCTTGCACACCAGTACTACTACTACTACTACTACTACTACTACTACTACTACTACTACTACTACTACTACTACTACTACTACTACTACTTATGCTGCTGCTGCTGCTACTACTGCTATAGTAATACATGGAAAGGTGACAATACTGATGTTTCAGCTCCTATCTTCAGGACCTACCCAGGCCATTGTGTATCTCCTCATCGATGGAGCCATCGCAGTCATTATCCACGAGGTCATCAATGAAAGGTTCTGAGTTCACGCAGGGCTGAGGAAGTAACAGTCGAGTATTTTGTGGCATAAGTAAAGTAATAGATAAACAGATTCTGATAGCATCACCTCAAAAAATGGAGAAAGAGTTGTTTCAATGTGCATCTTATTTTCTCACTATCATTTTTTCTAATGGAGGCCATTTAAAATTTGGGCTATTCCACGCTAACTGACGGGACATTTAGACTACCGTATACTTTCTTACAACGATTACACTGTAACTGTAATTCAATATCTATTAATTTATTTAAATTTTAAATTATAAGAACATTTGAAAAACATAATATAAAAAATCCCATTAAATACGGTCATTTGAAAAAAAAAAGTACTTTATGCAAATTCTGTGACATGTCTAGTTTCGATAACTGGCGGGACAGAAAAAAAATACCTAATTTGTCCCGTCAGTTATCATGGAATAGCCCATTGGTCATAATATACCGTATAAATTGTCTGTGCACGTTGAAAAATTTCGCGAATCACTTGGTCTCAGATCTAATTAAAGGTAATGCTCCAAAAAGTCAGCTGAGACGTTTGTAAAAGGCGAACGAAGTGCCAAGATGTCGTGCTGAGGAAGCAATACTTTCTTGACGTCATGGAGGTACTGTGTCGACCAGACCATCGATTGGGGAAAATACCAGAGTGAACTGCACAAAATGTCTAGTCTAATCGAATGAAATGCTTTATTTAAAGATAATTCATAACAGATTAATAGACATTTAGTTAAATAAATAGATCTTTAAAAATGCAATAGATATACCGAAGACATATAGAAGAAGATAGGGTAGATAGATAGATAGATAGATAGATAGATAGATAGATAGATAGATAGATAGATAGATAGATAGATAGATAGATAGATAGATAGACCTACCGTGTTTTCCAACTCTACTGTCCTTGCACCTATGCTGACTTTGGAGTTGTAGACGTCGACCGAGTAGAAATAGACAGCAAACCGAATGTGCGAGTGGTAAAATGACTCGAACAGCCCATAATGTGACTTGAGGAGGTACGGTGCACAGCGAAGGGCGACGTACGGAGAGTGTGAAAGCCTGAAGTAGTCGCACGTCCTGTCACTATGGATAGATGAACCATGGGTTTTAAAACACAACAAATTATGTCAAATGTTTGAAACGTTGAAACTACTTTCACCTCCTTTCCTGCTCTCTAGCAATGTTCTGTCGTCTGCTTTCGTCTCCTCTTTCTGCCCCCACCTCCTCACCTCCTTTGCCCCCTCCTCTCGACTCATGACTCTTTCTGCAGCCTTTCTATTGCTACTCCTTGGCTCCTTCTTACTGCTGTCTTTCAGACACACCTCTGATTTTCTGGTAGGAAAGATCTACACCTAGCCTTCTCGGGCAAGGGCGAAAAATCTCTGTGTGCAAGTAGCGCACGTTAAAGATCCCTTGGTGGTCTAAAATCAATAAGAGTAGGCTTCGGCCGCCACTCAGGCAAAATTCAAAATTTCCTACCAACTGAAAAAGTTTAAAGTGTCCCGCGCGCTCATATGACCTGATGCAGTTGCGAGCGCCGTAAAACACCTACCAAAAAAAAAAGACAAAAAAGCTACACCAATCACGCTCATTAACAGAAGGTAATAGGTTTGGGTCCAAGAGAAACATTTTAAATACTTTTGATAGCCATGACAAAACCTCCCAAAATTCTGAGACTGTCAAATAGTCTCAGCTCGAGCTGTACTGTATGGTTCATGGGATCTTGCTCTAGAACATATGTGAGGCATCATGGTGAAATTAGGCACTCGTCAAAATAAATTAAATCAAAGAATCAGGCATTTTTTCATTCGTTTGGTAATTTTTTTTTTTTTCGATTTATATTTTTTGCGCTCAACCCCTTTTATACCCATTTGAAACACATTTGCATTTCAAAATAAATGTTACGAAAAACGTTGGTTAAAGGCACACAAAAATATAACTTTACTGTTCCCAAAGACTCTCAATCTTCGGAATTCCCCAATGGCGGCCATTTTCTCGTTAAGTTTGTCTCTGAAGCCAGGCTACCTCCATCTCCTTTTATCGTAAATATCTCGAATTCAGGCCAAGAAGGAGAAAGATGGGGGGGGGGGGGTTCTTCAAAAGCAAGACAAATGAACATGCTTTAAGGTGAATGCGATAACTTCACATCCCCAAAAATTGACTAGCGCCTGATCTCACAGAGTCATGGTACAAAATAGTATTATATTCTTCTTCTTGAAGGCGACGGATTCTGTGTCTTCTGATAATAAACAGTTTCTATTACAACCCAAGAGCGCAGAAGCAAAAATATTTATTGTCCAGACGTGCACAAAGTAAACAGGAAATACGTATGACTTCGATTCCCTTGAGCAATGCAGCATGTATGTGTGTTTGCGCGTGCGTGCGTATGTATGTGTGTGTGTATGTGTGTGTATGTGTGTGTGTGTGTGCGTGTTTGTGCGTGTGTGTGTACTCACGCGCGCGTACACCCACACAAATTGGGTATGCTGTACCAATTGTGTTTCATGTGCATGTAGATCTATATGTACCATGTATTACTTTACAGCACTTGAAAATAATTTTACATTGTTACCAATAAATTAAATGCTTCATTTAATTATTAACTACACGAAATTCACCAGACAAAAAAGCTTACGCGAGTACAACGTTGTTCCACTCTATAACCGTGGCATGGGTTTCATCTCTCAAGATCAGTACATAAGCTTGGATAAAGTCATTATCTTTGTGTCTTCTGCAAATAGTAACATAAAAGTTGAAAAGGAATAAAAAGGGGCACTAGAGTCATACAAGAATATTATGTTTGGACACAAAGATGTTCAAATCTAGCTTCTCTCTGTCTCTGTCTGTCTGTCTGTCTGTCTGTCTGTCTGTCTGTCTGTCTGTCTGTCTGTCT